ACTCCCCTATCACTCTCACTCCCCTATCACTCTCACTCCCCCTATCACTCTCATTTCCCCTATCACTTTCACTCCCCCTATCACTCTCATTTCACCTATCACTCTCACTACCCCTATCACTCTCACTTCCCCGATCACTATCACTCCCCCTATCACTCGCACTCCCCTATCACTCTCACTCCCCTATCACTCTCACTTTCCCTATCACTCTCACTACCCCGATCACTCTCACTTCCCCTATCACTCTCACTACCCCTATCACTCTCACTCCCCTATCACTCTCACTCCCCCTATCACTCTCACTCCCCTATTACTCTCACTCCACTATCACTCTCACTCTCCTATCACTCTCACTCCCCTATCACTCTCACTCCCCTATCACTCTCATTCCCCTATCACTCTCACTCCCCTATTACTCTCACTCCTCTATCACTCTCACTCCCCTATCACTCTCACTACCCCTATCACTCTCACTCCCCCTATCACTCTCACTCCCCTATCACTCTCATTCCCCTATCACTCTCACTCCCCCTACCACTCGCACTCCCCTATCACTCTCACTCCCCTATCACTCTCACTTTCCCTATCACTCTCACTACCCCGATCACTCTCACTTCCCCTATCACTCTCACTACCCCTATCACTCTCACTCCCCTATCACTCTCACTCCCCTATCATTCTCACTCCCCTATCACTCTCACTCCCCCTATCACTCTCACTTTCCCTATCACTCTCACTACCCCGATCACTCTCACTTCCCCTATCACTCTCACTACCCCTATCAGTCTCACTCCCCTATCACTCTCACTCCCCTATCACTCTCACTCCCCCTATCACTCTCATTTCCCCTATCACTTTCACTCCCCCGATCACTCTCATTTCACCTATCACTCTCACTACCCCTAGTCACTCTCACTTCCCCGATCACTCTCACTCCCCCTATCACTCGCACTCCCCTATCACTCTCACTCCCCTATCACTCTCACTTTCCCTATCACTCTCACTTCCCCGATCACTATCACTCCCCCTATCACTCTCACTACCCCTATCACTCTCACTCCCCTATCACTCTCACTCCCCCTATCACTCTCACTCCCCTATTACTCTCACTCCACTATCACTCTCACTCCCCTATCACTCTCACTCTCCTATCACTCTCACTCCCCTATCACTCTCATTCCCCTATCACTCTCACTCCCCTATTACTCTCACTCCTCTATCACTCTCACTCCCCTATCACTCTCACTACCCCTATCACTCTCACTCCCCCTATCACTCTCACTCCCCTATCACTCTCATTCCCCTATCACTCTCACTCCCCTATCACTCTCACTCCCCTATCACTCTCACTCCCCTATCACTCTCACTCCCCTATCACTCTTACTACCCCTATCACTCTCACTACCCTTATCACTCTCACTACCCTATCACTCTCACTCCCCCATCACTCTCACTCCCCTATCACTCTCACTCCCCCTATCACTCTCACTCCCCTATCACTCTCACTCCGCTATCACTCTCACTCCCCCTATCACTCTCACTTTCACTCCCACTATCACTCTCATTTCCACTATCACTCTCACTACCCCTATCACTCTCACTTCCCCGATCACTATCACTCCCCCTATCACTCGCACTCCCCTATCACTCTCACTCCCCTATCACTCTCACTTTCCCTATCACTCTCACTACCCCGATCACTCTCACTTCCCCTATCACTCTCACTACCCCTATCACTCTCACTCCCCTATCACTCTCACTCCCCTATCACTCTCACTCCCCTATCACTCTCACTCCCCCTATCACTCTCACTTTCCCTATCACTCTCACTACCCCGATCACTCTCACTTCCCCTATCACTCTCACTACCCCTATCAGTCTCACTCCCCTATCACTCTCACGCCCCTATCACTCTCACTCCCCCTATCACGCTCATTTCCCCTATCACTTTCACTCCCCCTATCACTCTCATTTCACCTATCACTCTCACTACCCCTATCACTCTCACTTCCCCGATCACTATCACTCCCCCTATCACTCGCACTCCCCTATCACTCTCACTCCCCTATCACTCTCACTTTCCCTATCACTCTCACTACCCCGATCACTCTCACTTCCCCTATCACTCTCACTACCCCTATCACTCTCACTCCCCTATCACTCTCACTCCCCCTATCACTCTCACTCCCCTATTACTCTCACTCCACTATCACTCTCACTCTCCTATCACTCTCACTCCCCTATCACTCTCACTCCCCTATCACTCTCACTCCCCTATCACTCTCACTCCCCTATTACTCTCACTCCCCTATCACTCTCACTCCCCTATCACTCTCACTACCCCTATCACTCTCACTCCCCCTATCACTCTCACTCCCCTATCACTCTCATTCCCCTATCACTCTCACTCCCCCTATCACTCGCACTCCCCTATCACTCTCACTCCCCTATCACTCTCACTTTCCCTATCACTCTCACTACCCCGATCACTCTCACTTCCCCTATCACTCTCACTACCCCTATCACTCTCACTCCCCTATCACTCTCACTCCCCTATCACTCTAACTCCCCTATCACTCTCACTCCCCCTATCACTCTCACTTTCCCTATCACTCTCACTACCCCGATCACTCTCACTTCCCCTATCACTCTCACTACCCCTATCAGTCTCACTCCCCTATCACTCTCACTCCCCTATCACTCTCACTCCCCCTATCACTCTCATTTCCCCTATCACTTTCACTCCCCCGATCACTCTCATTTCACCTATCACTCTCACTACCCCTATCACTCTCACTTCCCCGATCACTATCACTCCCCCTATCACTCTCACTCCCCTATCACTCTCACTCCCCTATCACTCTCACTTTCCCTATCACTCTCACTACCCCGATCACTCTCACTTCCCCTATCAATCTCACTACCCCTATCACTCTCACTCCCCTATCACTCTCACTCCCCCTATCACTCTCACTCCCCTATTACTCTCACTCCACTATCACTCTCACTCCTCTATCACTCTCACTCCCCTATCACTCTCACTCCCCTATCACTCTCATTCCCCTATCACTCTCACTCCCCTATTACTCTCACTCCTCTATCACTCTCACTCCCCTATCACTCTCACTACCCCTATCACTCTCACTCCCCCTATCACTCTCACTCCCCTATCACTCTCATTCCCCTATCACTCTCACTCCCCTATCACTCTCACTCCCCTATCACTCTCACTCCCCTATCACTCTCACTCCCCTATCACTCTTACTACCCCTATCACTCTCACTACCCTTATCACTCTCACTACCCTATCACTCTCACTCCCCCATCACTCTCACTCCCCTATCACTCTCACTCCCCTATCACTCTCACTCCCCTATCACTCTCACTACCCTATCACTTTCACTCCCCCTATCACTCTCACTCCCCCTATCACTCTCACTCCTCTATCACTCTCTCTACCCTATCACTCTCACTTTCACTCCCCCTATCACTCTCATTTCCCCTATCACTCTCACTCCCCAATCACTCTCACTCCCCTATCACTCTCCCTCCCCTATCACTCTCACTCCCCTATCACTCTCACTCCCCCTATCACTCTCACTCACCTATCACTCTCACTCCCCTATCACTCTCACTCCCCTATCACTCTCACTCCCCTATCACTCTCACTCCCCTATCACTCTCACTCCCCTATCACTCTCACTCCCCCTATCACTCTCACTCCCCTATCACTCTCACTCCCCTATCACTCTCACTACCCTATCACTCTCACTACCCTATCACTCTCACTTTCCCTCCCGCTATCATTCTCATTTCCCCTATCACTCTCACTACCCCTATCACTCTCACTTCCCCGATCACTTTCACTCCCCCTATCACTCTCACTCCCCTATCACTCTCACTCCCCTATCACTCTCACTCCCCTATCACTCTTACTACCCCTATCACTCTCACTTCCCTATCACTCTCACTCCCCCTATCACTCTCACTACCGCTATCACTCTCACTACCCCTATCACTCCCCTATCACTCTCACTCCTCTATCTCTCTCACTCCCCTATTACTCTCACTCCCCCTATCACTCTCACTCCCCTATCACTCTCACTCCCCCTATCACTCTTACTACCCCTCTCACTCCCCCCATCACTCTCACTCCCCTATCACTCTCACTCCCCTATCTCTCTCACTCCCCTATTACTCTCACTCCCCCTATCACTCTCACTCCCCTATCACTCTCACTCCCCCTATCACTCTTACTACCCCTCTCACTCTCACTCCCCCATCACTCTCACTCCCCTATCACTCTCACTCCCCTATCACTCTCACTCCCCTATCACTCTCACTTCCCTATCACTCTCACTCCCCTATCACTCTCACTACCCTATCACTCTCACTCCCCTATCACTCTCACTCCCCCTATCACTCTTACTTCCCCTATCACTCTCACTACCCTATCACTCTCACTACCCTATCAATCTCACTACCCTATCACTTTCACTACCCCTATCACTCTCACTACCCCTATCACTCTCACTCCCCTATCACTCTTACTCCCCCTATCACTCTCGCTCCCCTATCACTACCCAAACTCCTTACCCTGTCCCACCCGTTCTCCTGTCACAATAACTACACCACCACTTCTCATAACAACCCCACTCTTTATCTCAACCACTATCATCTTTCGCACAATTTTTACAATTGCGTGCAAATCGCCTTGGAACAAGGCCCTGCTATAGCCATCGATATCAGACTGCTGGAGTGGAGGAGGAGGCAAGAGAATGGAAAGGAATGACATAGAAACATCGGCAACAGATGGCATCACAACTGCTGCTGGAAGTTCACAGACGCATCACCGTCCATAAGAAGGGTGCTGGATGGGGGGGTTGAGTTTTTGTTGAGTGGTAGAATTCAGTTTGATACAACAACAACAACAAAAAATTGTTGCCACGAAACTAACATGTATTCGTGGCGACGTGTAAGGCTTGCGGTGTGTCTCTTACGCTGGCGACCGCTGTGGAGGCCTGCAAGATGGTCTGGATGTGCCGGAGCCAGCCCGATGCCTCTAGTCCCGACACAAACTCACGCTGGCTCAGTCCCCGAGCCTGGCTCACTGGGGCGATTCAACAGAGACACGACAGCGCGGAGACACCCGGACCACCACGCGGTGAGACGGAAGTCAAGTGTTGTGCAGCGATCCGCCGGCATTTGCTCCGTGCAGGCTCCACATTGCATCTAGGAAATGATGGCTGGAGACATCGGTGAGCCGACATTACGAGAGCACCGCTCTGCCGATGCGGCCGCAGCGAAGTTAGAACAATGGGCGAGAGTTTATAATTTGCGCAGTATAAAATGGGTTCATCACATAATAAAGGTGTTTTGGGTTAGATCGCGTAAGTATGTGTCGTTAACCCGCCACCGTTCGACACTGCCGATCAGAAAGGTTTGTCCCGTAAACAAAACGTGCCAATTAGTTACTACTTCAGCACACAACGTGTGTTGGACAGTAAATCCACAACGTTTACAATTTGAGTAAAATGTTTCGCTGGTAATTACATCCAGCATCATTGGGGGATTTTGCCTCAATTGTGAAGAGATCTACCTGCTTCTGGTCTGAAATAGAGCAAGATGACATCAGCCAATCAGGTGCGGAGAACAGAGGGGGGTTTATTGTAATTATATAACAATATATTATGGTAATCTGTAAGAGATGGGTTCAATCGCAGTTAATCAGTATGTTCATCGCCGTTAAGTCTACCGGCAGGTCATGAGTGGTGCGTACTCTCAGCTCTTGCAAGACGTTTGGCCAGCGTGCAAGAGGTAAGCCAAATGCCCGAGCTCCCTTGCTCCATCCAGGAATTGCAGGGCTGCGCCTTTGCCCATACCGCGTGCACCACTCATCGGGCTGGTTTGAAAGGGTTCCAAGAATGCCCTTAGGGTTGGTCTTAAGCAGCATTATTATTCAGCGTGCGACGTCTGCACAAATGTACAGCGTGTGTTTTTTGTTACGTTGAGTCTACACTGCTGCTCCGTGTCGATTTTGTAATCCGTGTACCGTCCAGCAGCTTCGCGAGGCTGCTGCGCATCACGTGGATGTTCTCGATGCCGAGGAATTCAAAGCGAATGTTGGCGTAGTTCTCTTCGTTTTCGTAGCCTCTCCCCGCCGCGCGGTTTGCCATTGCATTCAACTGCGACAAAACAAGAAGCAGTAGCAGCAGCAGAGAGAGAGAGAGAGAGTGCGCACGGCATGGATGGGGGGGGAGAATTAAGTTATTGCTATTTGCATTGACTAGAGACAGCTTGCCTAAAGCAGCTTGCCAACGCAGTGGTAAATGTTTAACAAGGCGGGCCATGAGCATTTAAACCAGTCCAGAGTTTCCTTGTTGGCCAGGCAATATATTGGCGTGTTATGCCTTTGGATATATGTGGTGAAGTGAACGGGGGGCACAGATGGCGAGATGTTAACTATCTCGCCTGGTATACAGGAGGTCATGGGTTTGATCCCTACCCTGACGCCTGCTGTATATTTGGAGTTTAAATGTTCTCTCCGTAGTCGTGTGGATTTTTCTCCGGATCCTCCGGTTTTTCCATCGACATTTAAAATTGACACGCGTTTTAGAATATTTGGCTGCTATACATTTCCACGTGATAAGCCACTTCGTTGAGCTATCGTTTGGGGCCAGGTCGCTTCTAAAAAAAAAAGAGCGACAAAGCTCAGTCGGCCTTACCTGGTTATTTTTTTTTTAAAGGGCAACTTTCGATATGATTACATCTTGCATTTCTGACCCATGACAGATGCCTCATTCAGTTGCCCTGTTTAAGAGCTCTCTCTCTCTCTATCTCACCTTAGGCCGGGTGTCGACGACGTACAGTGTCTCATGCCCCGGTCCCGGATTCGCCCGCCACACGGCTTGCAGTAGCTGCTCGTCCTCAGCGCAGCGGGTGCTGAAACCCGAGAGTGGCTGGCTGCATCGGCAGATCGCCGCCTGGGACGGGGCGACGGGCGCGCGGTGCCAGAAAGCCGGCGTTGATCACATCAAAATTATAATAATAGGGTTTTCCCCCTTTTTCCTGGCAACAAAACTGAAACCTTTTTACAAGGATTCATGTCTGCATTAACCACAATACCTGCAGTCAAAATGCAAACAAAAAACATACTATGATAATATATGCATTGTCCTTGAAACTGATTAGTCCACACCAAGGGACGGCTTTCTTTTGAGCCTCGACCCAATTGGTGCTCGACCAGATGACGCCAAAAGGCGTACACGTCTAAATTATTCACCGCTGGTGGAGCCAAGCTGCGCCCTCCGTTGATCGGGACGTGATGGCGGCCCGAGCGTTTTGAATGAGGCGAACAAAATAATGAAATGGCCGCGAAGAGAGGCGGCGGACACGGAATGCGCCCGATTTCCTTCAAGATCTCGGAGCCTGGAGCAGTCCTTGGATGGGGCCGCCGCCATGCATCGCGGGTGTTGTAGACCACGGGGGCTACGTGGCCAGCAGCGGAGGGCAGTGCGGAAACATCCATTGTGGTACTGGACTCGCTCCCGTGTCTGTGCTCCCTGTAATTACTGCCCCGCACTGACCAATGTGGTGAAGTATGGTTCAATAACCCCCACGACCCAGGAGTAGATTGGCAAATGGGCTGTATGTGTACGTACATCTCGCCAGTGTGGACACCACCATCATGGGACCTCCCTTGCCAGTATCAAAATATAATAATAGGTTTTACCCTTTCTGACAATAAAACAGGCGTTAAGATGTTAAAACACCAAACAGAGACCTTTCGCAAGGCATCATGAATGCATTAACCACATATACTTGTGGTGAACATGCAAACACAGGTACATGTGGTTAATGTCCCATATCTCACGGCCCACAAGACATGGGAAGAACTTCATCCAGCAGTGGATTGAGAAATGCGGTGCAGGGCGGTGTGGATGCGTGCACCAGCCTCTCACCCCGTTGTGCGCGTGAAGGTAGGACAGGGTCGGGAAGCGAGCCTTGCTGCGGAAGCGAGCGCTGCCCAGGACGATGTCGGTGGAGATGCACGGCACGAACAGGTCCGCAGGGTACGTCCCGCACACCTGCCCGACGCAAACGTTCCCGCTGCGTGACGAAAGGCATCGGGCAGGGCGCAGACTCTTGTGTGTACGCGACCGAGTGTGTCACGGCGTTACATAAACGTGTTGTCGGGGAGATTGGACCTCTGCTGCAGTGGAGTGTAGGCCCCCGGAGAGTAAACTAACAAAAATGTCACCGACTCTTTGAGTCAATAATATATGAGTGAACACGCTGAGATTTGCTTGCGGCCCGAGTGGTGAGTTGTTGTGCATTCTCAATTGGGGGTCCTATTTTGTTGTGCAATATCTTGTCACCGACAATAATGCAATGCAAGTCCGCTTGACCGTAGCTACAAGCCCGTGTCAGCCATCACGGTACCATGCTCATCTTTACTTGTGAACCGCACACTGATTTTTATTGGATGTATGTGCAACAGACGATATTACTGGAAAATAAATGTAGGGTTAGTAGAGTCTGTTCTCCTATAACGCCACGTGTTTTCATAATGCAATTTGTATATAACGCGATGAACGTATGGGGGAACACATTTTTTTTTATAACGTAGATGCGAATTAGATATGACGCGATTTAGTGAATAGAACTACGTCACGCGAGAAGGAATAAGCGGTCGCATGGCCCCCTCGGCGTAGCAGCGTCACACAAGGCGGGATGCTGCTGGATGCTTCTCGATGCTACCCACGTGCCTCAATCTTTGTTCAGCCTGCATGCGCATCTCACGCGTTACCGCGGACTGTGCCTTACCCCACGTTATTTATTATAACGCGACTTTTCCAAAAACGCGGTGTTCTTCGGGAACGCAACTACTACCGCGCCGTAGGTGAATAAGACTGTACTCCAGTTCATTTAAGGTGACCTCGTAGTTTGCGTTGATGTCCGTGAGCTTCCAGTGCTTGTTGGGTACACCCATTCTCCGGAACTCGGAGCGTAGGTCCAGCAAGGTCCATCCTTCCTCGCGATCGGTGGCTCTCACCCGAGGGCTGTACGAGAAGGCGAACAGGTCCCGGTGGTGGGCTGTACCAGCGCGCACACATGCCAGCATCGACGTCACGGTCGCTGCACCTCAGCAGCTGTCACCTTGACTCCATCATTCGTGACTCTCAGCTCAACGCTCACGCCGTCAGCGGTTCAGTGCCGCGCTTTCAGGATTACCCTTGCGTTAAGGATTACCCTTTCGTTAAGGATTACCGTTATGGATTACCATTAAGGATTACCGGTTGTGGTCAGCGCAAGGGCAGGGCGGCAAAAATCCACCGTTGCAATTTGACTACGCTGCCACGTCTACAATCCCCACCCTCACCAACCGGCCCCGATCAGCACAGCCGAGCACCAGCATGGAGCGCGAGCGAACTCCACGGGCCACACGGTGGGTGGAGGAGGGCCCTCGTGCAGCTGCGGATTGAAAACGCGAGCCACGCATGGACACATACAAGTGGCCACCGGTGAACACGGCAGTGCGGGCTGATGAAGGTGGGAGAGGGGTGCCAAGACCGGCTGAGATATCAATCGACGCAGATATTAGTCGTATGTATGTGTGTATGTTGAATTTCTTTCACACCATACGGAGCAACCGTGTCAATCGGAAGTGCAGCCGTCGCGGTGAATCGAACTCCGGTCACCAATCTTCATAGCTCAGTGTGTGAACCACCGTGGCTCTGATTTACCCCCAAAAGGAGAGTTTATACAAAGCATTTATTTTCCCACGGCAGTCCTAGCAACACATTATAAAGGCCTTGCGGTTAGGTCGTTTGGCGATCCTGTGCGATTCGCCATTTCGTGTCGCGGTGCCGTGCAGCGTTCACACCGGGACGGCAGAGCTTGACAATAGACAGCTGCACGTCCTGGCAGTCTTGCTCGCACTGGAACTTCAGGTGCAGTGAGCGGAAGGTCTTGGTGTGCAGGAGCAACAGTGGGCCGCCAGCGCCAGCCGGTGGTAGCCTCTCGAGCGATGCCAAAAGGCTGTGTGCCAGCTTGAGTTGCCACAAAGCCACAGGGCACCAGTGAGTTAGACAGGAGAAAACACTCAACGATGCACTGCCAAACTGCACACGATGGCATTCTGTCGATAACCATTCCCACTGGATGAACTTTTAAAAAATGAGAGCATGCATAGTGAACAATGCCGTACTGACAATAGTTTCATGAGACATTTGTTACGGCTGTAAAATGTAAAGCACAATTCTAAATAACTTATTTAACACTGAAAAGTGTGAAAACTAAATCACATGTACACTTTGCAATAATCTGCGTATTATTCTGCAAAACCCATGATAAAATTGGTGTGAAACATCTAAATTACATTCCTGTTTCTCGTCATTCCCATGCGACACGTGCCACCAAAGTGTCACACAGCAGCCTGAGCTCATACCCAAGTTTCCCGATGGTCTGCTCGCTGCAGGCTTGGCTTCTTTGCGAAGATGAGATGGGTGGCAGTCATGTAGAGTGTACCCATGATGGGCTTTGCTCCCCCACTGCCTAAGAGCTGCACATCCTCCACCTGCCAACCCACAAAACGGTTATTGTGGCAGACATCGATTATCACCATTTCTGATCACTTTTCTTCATTGCTGTATTTTGCTTTGTTAGCTTTTGATATTTTTTTTTATCACCTTGGTGACCCAGGTTACTCCTGCAAATGGATTACATCCCAGTCTGTTGATTTATCACCTGGTTAAAAAATATAAACTTGAAACTACATTATGAGCGCACACTCGCCAAGGATTTTTTGGAATTCCTGTATCAGCCTGGGCTGGAATAGTCATATAAGGTGCAATTACTTAATTCAGTTTTGTCCCATATTTGATTTGGACAAGTTAGGAACCCACGGTGATCTCGTGTTTATAACCGCGTTGAATCTCACTCCCAAACTTGACATCGGGTTTCAGTGTGAGAACATAGCCTCTCGTTTCTTTTGCAGAAGTCAACGGTGGCAGTTTTGACCAAACATTTACAAACACTTTTTACAAACCCCTTCTACCTGGAAACATAACAATCGTCCGTAAAACCACGTGTTTTATCTGCAGATACAAAGTGTTCAGCAGCGGATGGTCATCAGTGGTGCTGTTAGCCCATTGGTGGGTCCTTCGGATCAATGACTGTCGAGGCCATCCCCTTACAATTCATAAAATCCTAGCAAAGATGACAGAAGACCTATAGACGAGCGAGATATAGTGACAAAAAGAGATATGTAGAAAAAACGGACAAGTAGTAAGATAACAGAGAGACATACAAGTCTCAGATGAGAGAGATTAATTGGATTTTTTAAAGGTTATTTAGTGGATCATGTTTATTAGGATTTGAATTTGAGCTGACAATTGATCAACCCCTATATTTGCATGAAACTAGGGCCTCTTGAGCATCTTGGAGGCAACGCAGCTGCTTTGCTTTTGCCTGGCACTGCCACCCGTTCTCGTGACTGTGCGGCCTGTGATGATTGTCAAGGTCGAGCAGCATGTTAAACACCTTAAGGGAAAGTGAAACACATTATACGACAGGAGGTACAAGGTCTTGTTGTGACAGTTTTGAAAAGACGACGAGTATAGTTTAGAATGATATTAAGGCTGATCTTAATTAACAATGACAGGTAATATTTGGTTTTATACCAAAGGGAGTAATTCGGTGAAATGAAATACATTAAGCACAAATAGGTTGTCATTTTATTATTTATAAACGTTTAGAAACATAATTCAACGTTGCATTAGTTTTAACTTTTCACCAGTGGTGTCTAAACTTCCAAAACGCGAGTGCAGTGTAAACAAATAATTAGGAGTGTGTAATCTGTATACCTCAAATAATCCCGTCCCGAATTAAAACTCCTGCAGCATACTGTAGTCTAATTATTCCCAAGTGGCAAGCATGGGAGTGAAAAGAAATGCTCCAGAATAATTCGTAAAAAAAACATGTGATTATGCAGTCGCATAGATCCTGTTGACGATAGCACCGTCACTTTCCGTGAAATACGGCAACGTCTTTGGAGAGATCGTCTACGTTGACCGTGGTGAGTACCGCTCGACTGCAACTGAATTTCAACAAGCCGGGCGAGCCAGATTCTATACTGCCAAAGTGTCACTGTCGGGTAGCACTCTATGGGCGAATTTTTCTTTTTACCTGGATGATGAATAGATTATCATGCGGTTAACAGTCATTCTGCTTCAGACACCCACTGATGGCAGTCTGCGAACCCTACCTCGTCCGGGCTCGGAGTGACTCGTTAAAAAGTGAAGCCTCAAGACACGTGTAACCTTATATCATTTTATGCATTGACACATTAGCTCGCAGACCGGAAGTACCGTTCGTCGGCAAGTCGGGTCAAAACCTACGTTTAAAGTCAAGCAGGCTCAAGTTGAGCAGTCCATTCACGATTAACAATTTTAAATCAGACCAGTACTAAGTTGCTATTCTTGCGTACAAGTACAATAAGTTCGGGAGCTAAATGACAATGTAAGGGGAGAGTTCGTTTCGTTTTTGCTACTCCTAAACCACGTGGATGTGATGAGCACGTACCGCATGTCAATTTCACTCCGGCTAGATGTGTTTCTGCAGTACACGCAGCATTTGCAATTACGTCATACGTCCGTCGTGACGTCAACTCCGCAGCATATTAAGCAGAAATCACGTCACGAATCGCCTGCGGATCGCTTGGTTGGGAACATTTTTTTGTTGCGTTATTGCCACTAGAGACGTTCTCAAGTACAACTCTTGGCGTGACGCAATGAACAAGAGATCATCTCTTGAGCTACTAATCTCGGCGTGTCACCACGGTGCCCGATGCCAAACTCAAGAGCCTCGGGCCAGAGGGCACCAAACGGACGCTGTCCCAGGTGCTGAACGGCGGTCACCCACATCGAGCATAAATGACGAATTATTTTTTCACGGTCTAAAACGATTTATTTGGCATCATACGCCTACAATTAAAGTTGTACATAGAAACAAACACGACGTGTGCGATGATAAAAACACAAAATCTGGTGGAATACGCAGAATTGTTGTACTATTGCTGTACAGTCTGCGTGATGCCACGCGCCTCCTGATAGGTGGATTCCTCTTCAGCATTGGTACGTTGTCACTTATTCTCACCACGTCCATTCGGCTATGCGTGTCGAAAATAAACGTTGCTGTTCTGCGGATTAGCGGGGTGTCAGTGTTGATGGTTAAGCCATCATTCTATTGTACGGCAGCCGTCAAAATATATACATAGCCGCTCACAACATTAAATATAAACCGGAGCTCTCGTAAGCTATTGAAGAAACAAAAATTACGACAGGATATAAGATAATCGCAAGCAACCCGCGGCACGTTGCTTATAAGTTACAATAACCGTATACGCCTTTCTTCCAAAAAAAATCGGCCTTCAAAATGTCAGTCCGCGAGCGGGAAGGAAAGGAAGCTTGCTCAACAGCGCCAGAGGAAGAGAGGTAACTAAGGCCAAGCGAAGACGAGTAATATAATGAAATAAACACCACGGCACTGTATGGAGGATGTGGCATCGCGGACACCGCCATCACCACACTCCCGCGTATCGGTCGGGGGCCGAATCTCACCTTGGGGGTCCTGATGTGCTCCATGATTGCCCGGCTGTGTCCCCTTCACTAAACTGCAAAGGGGGCAATTAAACCCCCGGGGGCGTGGGGGGCCCTTACGGGAACCTTGGCGGATGGGGGGTGGGGGGTGGACGATGCGTGTGCGAGCTGGGGTCTGCCGAACGGCGAGATGGGGTCCAGCGCTCGCCACTTCCCCTAGAGGCGAAGTTGGGCACTTGCATTGACAAAGATCTTATCCCCGCTCCTCCCCCTGTACAAAGCCTTCAACTGACAGTGGTTTTTCTCGACCTTCAACTGACACAGTGGTTATGTGGAGTCCAGCACCCCCCGCCCGGCCGCCTTTGTCTCCCCATTGCTTATGTTTATACATCCGGCAACGGGTAAGTGCTCATATGAGGCTGAGTCGACTTCAGCGAGGGGCCCATGGCCGGTTCATGTTTTGGGTCACTGATGTTAGCCGTGAGTAGGAATCGAAATTGGGTGGCCGGGTCCAGAACTCAGTGCGTTAACCACTATAACGACTCTTACCCACTGACAGGTAACACACAACAACAATTAACGCTGTCTGCGTCATGTGAAACATGTGCGCACACACCCACATTGAGACAGCGTTAATTGTTTTGCGCATGACGTGGTACGTATTTAACAATCATCCGGCGCGTGTTGCGTTGAACACATTAATCTGTATTTGAATGTCGAGTAAATTGGTAAACGGGGAAATAGTGTAAACTATAAACTAAACAATTGTTTTATTTAACCAGGTAAGGTCCACTGAGCTATATAGCTCTTTTTCAGGAACGACCTAGCCATAAGTTATCGTCCAACGAAGTGGCTTATCACGTGGACATCTATCGCAGCCAAATACCTTAAACGCATGTTTCTAAACGTGGAGGGAAAAACCGGAGGACCCGGAGAAAAAATCCACGCGACCACGTTGGAGAACACGCAAACTCCAAATATACAGGCGTCAGGGTAGAAGCAACGTCTCCTCTAAGACGCCTGGCAAATTGTTGCAGCTACGTAAAAGTGGATACACAAAAAAGGGGACATACTACTGTGTGAAGAACAACAAGTGAAAAACGCAATTTCCGAGGAATGATTCAGCAAGAGTAAGTTCTGCATTTGAATACGTTCAGGAAATGGGCTCTTGGCTGCTCTGCTTTTATTTGTAGCATGTAATTAATATCTGTGAAACAACGTAAATATATAACTCATTATGACTTTTTCGAAGTTATGTTTATGCCTTTATCTTTCCAGTCATATGTTTGTGTGAATAGCTTTGGTGATAATTAAGGATCTTCTTGCCTGACTCTTTGCCGCATTTGTATTTTGCCACTATTCATGCTATCTCGATGTAGTGGTTCCTTATTTTAAAGTGGGTTTGATATTATTTTTAGTTTTTTAAGACCATGGGTTGTGATGTGGAAGTTCGGATGACTGCTTCAGTTTCTACTGAATAAAATGAATTTGCATAGTCAACAAAATCCATGCACAAATGACATTTGGTACAAATTTGTCTTCAACAGGGTCTGGTCGTATTGTATTTTTTCCATGGCTGAATGGTTGATGATATAGTCAAAACATATAAATTAAATTCATTATGTGATATAATTCAATCACTTGACAATTAAGTGAAGGCTAAAAAGTTTAACTCAATATATATTTTAAAAAACTAAGTTGAAGTACACCACGTTTTCTAAACAAAATAAAACTATTGTTGAAGAGACACAACTGTAAAATAGAGCAGCATATGCATATCTAAAGCAATTATTGACGGTGCGTTGTGATCAATTGATCAAATTAATTGTCAAACGAGAGCAGGCAGGAGTGACAATCTGAATTTGATAATGCAATGCATCAAAGCAATGTGCCTGAAAAACAAAGATTTCCATTAGTGCCTAGTGCTAACCGTAGACTGAAACTCATTCCGCTGAACCATTTTGTGTCAGAAACGTGGGCACTGGCAAAGAAAACGGAAAGGCGGAAATGCGCTTAAAGAAGCGTCGAAAGTTACGTCTGCTTGGAATCACATTGAGAAACTTCAACAGGAATACGTGGATTAGGCATGAAACACAAACCAGACATCACATCGGCTGCTGAGAAAAGTGACTTCGGATCGGACGCATTTCTAGAAGGGACGGCAACCAATGGACGAGATTGAATGGTGGGCAAAAGACAGAGCTGACCCAGGCGGATGACTGCTATGGAGATGGAGCAATGAAAAAAAATCGTATGCAGAACTGAGATGGATTGTAGCATTCCAGGACTGGAAAGTATGGCAAGAGCATGGACATATCTTCATCCAGCAGTGAATGGAACAAGGCTGGTGGTGATAACATTTTCACGTGCGTCCCAAACACAGTGCGGTGACAATATGTGGCTGTAATAAAAACAATATTAAAATTACACGGAAGTGCACCGTCGGTTTTCAACGATGTAACAATGCAGTACTGTAATTAAAACTTAAACCTTCGAACGTATTTCAATTTACCTCTTCACGTATCCTACCTTATAATCTGTGGTGGATTAGAAATAGGTTGAGATGGCACAGGAGCCTCAGTGTTCAACATCAAGGTACGGCAGGGGAACAAGGAAATGGCCGCCCCAGATGCATTTAACACAGGGAAGTGGGTGTGGGGGCCGCAGATAAACTTGTCATTTTATGAAGCCTCTGTCCAGCAATTACCTGTCAGCTTTCAAATATCTATGGGTGAGAAGCAAAGTCCAAAATCCGTTGGTTGTGAGGGCCTGAAAGAAGCCTGTTCCTGGGCTGGTGATGACTTGTCAGTCACTCACAAGACTTCTGTGCTTGAACAATGGCAAATCGTGGCGCTTTGTCCTTCTTATCTTAAGCAATATACGAATTCGATACCAATCGCACATTACGCAGAACTTATTCAGTTCACAAATTGTGCCTAGTTGCGCGCAATTTGCATGCTAATCTCATGTTGCACGCCACAAATATGTTTGAAAGAAAATCAACGCTTGCTGGAAAAAAATGTACAGCATATTTTATGTTGTGCACAAATTGCACACTGTGTGCAGCCGCTGAAAGTCAGACGCTTCCATGCAAATCATATGTTGCATGCTAATTCCGGGGCAAATCACATGTTGCATGCAAGCTATACAGAAATTGAAATTGCAAACCGTCTGCAAGTTTCAACGCAAATTGCACGTTGCTTTAGCAAATTGCCTGTAAAATTACCATGCGCAACAAATGTTAGAATGCACAAGTGGCACACATTGCGATGCAAACGTTTAAAATATTGGGGTGCGATTCCCATCTTGCAGTGAAGTATGCATGTATGATCAACTTTTTATGCACCATAAGTAAAGCTTTTTAATGCAGGAATTACTACTCAATGGCAGTTTTTACCAGTAGTTCGAACAAAAAACGAACGTTCAGACTTCCATGTGATTGCAGATCGCCAGTCAGGTGCAGCTCCCGGCATGGCTGTTAAAGTGGGCATAACCCAGTGCTTCTTAACCTGGGGTGCACGCATCCACTGGGGGTGCCAGATGCCCTTTCTGGGGGTGCGAGACATGGCCAGATTTTTTCAGAAGGTAAGTAATCGAAACACAAACAAAGCACGGGCACCTAAGTACAACTACTTTGTTTAATCAAACCTATGCATTTATTAACATAATATATATTTTTTCCGATTGAGAACCAAAGGGGTGCAAAGGCTGCAGTAAAGGTTAAGAATCACTGGCATAAAGAATGCGATTTGTGGGCATGCAGAAGGGAGTTTGCATACTGGCAGATTCTCAACCCTGCCGGCGAAGCGTAGGTGGGTCTCACAAGCACCATGGGGCAACACACGAGCAAAAGCCACCGTTTTAGCTGCCTCTTTGACTCGCACTCAATCCTCCTTCCTGGCCCACGTGCCTCCCCCACAGTGTGTGTGTGTCATTGCGACCACTTGCAGCAGCTGTAAAGGTGGTTCAGCCGCGTCGACAATCGTGCCAGCAGCAGCAGAAGGGCTCAGAGAGTGGAATGCCACTGCACGCTCGGCTTTGCAGGGCAATGGGGTTAAAAAAATATATTATTTCAAATTCTGCATGGTATTGCTTCAAACAACGAATTTTTAAACCTTAGCTGTCACTCGCAGGGTCATCACTGATATCCAAAGCTGGAAATGGGAAAGCTATTGGGGTAACTCATAAATCGCCTCCCCCTCCGCCCTACCGCAGCCCTGCCTCAGTCGATCTGAAACATACGAACAGGGCATTGACTAATACGTTAGACCATATTCTTAGCTCTTTCGGTAAAGTCACGTTGAAGGGAAACAATAAAATAATGATGATGACCGTTTGCGTTATGGTCGAAACGTCGTGAGAATTTTTATTGTTTTATATATATTTTATTATTTTATTGTTTCCCTTCAACGTGACTTTACCGAAAGAGCTAAGAATATGAATTACTGCAGTCACGAAAGCTTTAAATCAAAACGTTAGACCATGTTTTGCCTCTTTCTTAACCTTTACTGCAGCCTTTGTTTATTTACAATAATAATAATAAAGCAATGTTTTATATATTTGAGTTATGTAACCTCTCGCACAATTGTATGCATGATCCAGAGCGTGGCGTGACAGACGGACACTTGTGAATCACAAACATCGATTTAAACATACATCTATGTACCACCCGCCGCAACACGTGTACCTGGCAGTCGGGTTCAACCCTGGACTCCCTGCCACGGGGCACATTTCCACCACGTGCCGATGTCAACAACAACAACAACACCACGTCATCGGGGTTGGGTGTGAGGCCCGCCCACAGTAACTAAAGGAGTGCAAATGTGCATCGCTGGGCCACTGTTGAATCACGTATGGGAATGTTTATTTATCGTCTATCCCCCCCCCCCCCGTTCTGCTCACCCATTGCTAACGCGTTGTGCGGCGAATTGCGGCATTGCGCGCAGACTGAGAAAGCAAACTGCAGGCAAAATGATGTCACGAAGCACGCGTTTGGTGCAAAAATCA